GGTGCCTACTATCCAATGACACCCCTTGTCCCATGTTGGCATGTGGCTGAAGTTTGCAAAAGACAAATACATCATATTCTGAAAATGGTTCTGTGAAGCAATTCACTTAGGAATTTTTGTTGTTTATTATATATGATACTTTTAATGTTGATTTGTTAATACTGAGAACTATGAAGCCAATGAACTGATTATTTCTGGTCCAAAACACTGCTTAGAAATCTATTCTTTTGAATAAATAACAAAGAAAAGGATTACTTTAAATATAAGGGTATTTAACCTCTACTCTTTAAACATTTGCCAATTTAGAAACCCAGATTTTTTTCCCCTCTTTGGAGACCGTGGTTCTGTGCACTATTGGTAACTTTCAAAAATTCACCAGTCATCCTATTTAACCGACAACAGATTCAGTGTCACATTTATTACATTAGTTTTGTCACTTCCTGTGGTCAGTCTGTGAAATTCTATATGAAACTACAGGGTTTTTTTTCCATATCAGAACCCTGTTCTCTTGCAGTTCTTCATACCAGTGTTTGCACATAACAGTTGATCAAAAATATACTGGAACTATATTTTGATACAGTAAGCTAGACTCACTGTACTGACTAGCAAGTTACAGGAGGTATTCCAGTTGGTTAAATAGGAAGAAGAGCAGTCTGAAACAACATGATCAGTTAACAGTTACTGGTATTTAGATTTGGGACCAGGAAAAAAAATTACATTTTCCTGTAATGTTTTTCTCTGCTGTAGGAACAGATATTTGGAAACAAATGCTAAATCTGTGAGCTTTTATAAGACAAAAACAGAAATATTGGGTGCCTTTGTTTGTAAACCAAAAATAAACAAATCCCTTGAAAGTGTTGTTAGTGTTTATTGTATTTTTGAATGTTTTTAGTCTAATTTCTGGAAAATAACTGGATAGTGTAAATGCCATCTTAATACACAAGAACATGCTCTTTCCTTTGAGAAACTTTGAAAATCAAGTTAATGACTAATACTACATTTTAAAAAACAAAACAGAGAAACCTTCATGATCCCAAAACAAAAAACAACAAACAAAACCCCTACAATCTAAACCTTCATGGGGTGATATCAAAACACATGGTGAGGTATGCTTGGTCATGGTATCTTTCTTGTATGTCAGCTAGTTTTCTCCTTGCTGTCATTGCCTGTTCATTTGTAGTATTAGTTTCAAATTTACTTAAATAGATGGTGCTTTTTCATATGGTTTAAAAGGGTACTGTGGTTTTGCAGTCGCTTTTGGATTAACATTTCAAGGAATTACAAGCAACTACAGCTATTTGTAGTATTTACATTTTGTGGCGAGGGAAGAAAAGGTAGTATTAAGTTAGTGCATCACCAAAATGGCTTGGTTTTTTGTTTTTAACCTTAATTTCTTGGAATCTTCAGACTTCATGGATTCTTCCTTTTATCGAGAGCACAGTTCTAGAGATCATGCATGATCTGTAAGCTGTGGTTTGGGATCCAACAGTTTTAAAGCATAACCTTTCCTTTACTTGACTTAAGTCTTAAACTACCAAATATAGATGTTTTTTGTTGGTCTGTTTAGTTGATTCAAAATTGGAAGCAAGGAACAAAACAAGTTTTAAGATGTTATCCCTTATGTGTCTTGTGCAGTTAAACATTTTGCCCTTTCTTCATAGTATAGTATTACATTGTATGTTGTTCAAAAACAAAGAACAGGTTTATTGAGGTAAGTTGGTTCTGAGAAGTACCCTACACGGAGCTGGGAAGTATAACTTTTCATAATATTTTTACATATTTCACAATCTGCTGAGCAGACTTTAAAACAGAAATGAAGCAAAATGACCAAAGAATGGCTACTCCGGAGAAATGTAAGTGAATTGCTTTAAAGTGCATTCTTGCTGTTCCTCAATCTTTTTATGCTGAAGTATTTTGTCCAGTCTGGTGGCATTCACTGTGTGTTTGTTTGAATTTCTAGAAACTGTAAAATAGTTCCAGTGAAGCTGATATGAATTGTCTGCTCTTATTTTTTTAATATGCTGTACCATCATAAATTTAGAAGCGAAGGTTGACAGGTCTCACTTATCACTTTAAATTCTAGGTTTTCTTGCTCTTTTCTAGAGTATTCTTCAGAGCTTCTTCAGACAACTCTGGCCTCTATTTTGTCTGCAGATGACTGCAAGTTAAAGGTTACTTAACAAAACTGTGAGCTCCTTTTCTGCCATCTCGAACTAAATTAATCCTGCTTCCACTTTCAAGATATTTATAAATGCTTAGCCCCTTAATGTTGTTGTAGTACTTCTCTTCAGGGCAAACTTGACATTCACTTTGGCTTTCCCTGCTCTGCAACAAATATGACTCACTGATAGATAATTAGTAATTATGCAACTCTCTCTTCTGGAATATGGAACAATGACAGCTTTGAGAAGCTTCCGTTCTTACTATGAGAAGCAGGAGAAACCGTGACTAATTGGTGAAAGCAGAAGGTCCAACACACTAATGCACTGAATAAAACTGGAATGCTTAGAGCCATGGGCTCTAGGTAGGGTGAAGGGGACTTTTTTTACTCTTGATTCAGTTATATCCATTAACTGCAAGTGTAGTGATGATTACCAGAAGCCTTTAATTTCATTGTAATTGAATTTTTATACCTTCCAGGATGGTAATTCTGTAGCCACTATCACTTCTGAAAAAATATCCTGACGTGTAGAGGCAAGGCCTCTTTTTTGCTTCTTTATGAGCATATGAAAAAACTAAAGTATGAACTTACCGTAAGATTCTCTGAAATGAAGAAATTAAAACCACCACTTGGTTAAAATTTTCTGGTATGTAGAATGAACATGAAATCTTACATTGCCCTTGCCTCATATGGTAGGAGTTTCTGCTACATCCTCTGTGTATGCCCTATCTCTACTGTAGAAACAGAGATACAGTCTACCACCAGGAGTGTCAGAAAGTAGTTGTGGTAATCTTGTTTTAATTAACAAACAACTGATTTACCACTTAAGTGAAAGTGATTCACTACTTAGCCACTATTAACTTTTACATATTATGTCAGCCTTAATCCAGATTCAAGATTATATAGTTGACTATTTTTATCCTTATGAAACTCAATATCTCATCCTTTCATTCATTCCTGATGAAATTATCCCAGAACTGGATGTCTAGGGACACAAATAGTTACACTTACTGTTTTAGGCACCTAACTTGGATGGAATTCAAGAATCTAAAGTTAGGAGGCTTGACTTCCTCTATTATACAGTTTTCTTGGTATGATTCAGAATCATAAGGCAAATGCTTAAAATAAGCAGGGACTTCTCAAAAGCAGTCACATTTTGGGGTGGGGAGAGAAAGACCTGTGGAAAGGAAATGGTTAAATTATGGGAGCAGGCTGACTATTGTTAATATTTGTTCTTATGTTAGTATGTATGTGGAATTGAGGCTATATTGACACTGTATTGTGTCATGTGGCTCTTGATCTGCATTGTATATAAAGCTTGTGGTTAAAACGTAAATCAGACAAGTTAACTCTAAGTGAGCAAGTCTGTCATTGGGCACTTCTCACTTAATGTACTCTCCTAGGACACTGCTTATTCAACTTAAAGATTCAGTTTAGAGAGGGACAGCAGCTAGAGGGATATTTGGAATATTGCTGACAGTGTATGGAAGTTTGTAGAGTCTGTGGAAGATGAGGTTTTCTTTGCAATTTACAGGATAGAAGTCTTGCAAGTTAAGTTATTTATATGGCGTAAAGCGCAGCAGTGTGTCCCACAAATAAATACATGTTAATCACTCCCATGAACAGACTCCCAGCTCAAATAGGCTTTAAAAAATTTCATGTACTTGAAGGAGGTAATTAATTTTGAACAAATTGCATAGGCTAGAACAAGAGGACTTGATAGCTACTGTAAGTCCTTAGCAGGAAGAATGGAAATTTTCTGATCTGCTTGCTGTCCTGTACAATTTCTTGCTTCTTGTTCCTTCAAGGACTTTTTATTTGATACGCTTAATTTTTAAGTTGTACTTAATATTTAAGTATAATTCTCCAATTGTGTGAAGTTACTTTTACTTTGAGAGAGACTAGTTGTTTTTTGTTTGCCTACGTCTTTCAAATGCATCTTACTTTCCCTGTTTCATAAAGGCTCTCCCAATTTAGGTCAGAGACCTGCTATTTGTTGCATAAAGCACACGGCACATGCTCTCAGAATCTTGTGCCTAGTAACTAGGGTAAGGATTCAAGTCTACTTCAGGCCAGAGCAGCACAATCCTCCTGAAGCTGTTGAGCTTTCACTGAGTAACTGTGAATTAACAATGCATGCCATTCTGACTGTTAATGCAACCTTCTCCAAGCCTGTAAGTGAAAGAGCTCTCTTGCAAGTACAACAGCGGAGGACCCATAAACTGATTTTCCCCCAGCATTCTGTTTGTTTGCTGGCAGAGCACTTGTCTATAATCAGCTACTTAACATGATTATTGAGTACTACATTAGATCACCTTTTTCCTCTGTATCATGGTGCAAGAGTGACAATCCAGTAGGCTGCTTCCATGTTTGGGTCTTAGGTTTAACCTCCCCTTGCTGAAGGGGCTTTTTTAAAAGGAAGACTAGAGCTGTGGATTTAACTATGCTTCACTAAGATCTGGTATGTTTGGAGTATTTTATGGTGGGTTAGTTTGCACTGAGCAACCAAACTCTTAAACTGTTGGCTCCTCTGTTTTCCTCCCCCACCCAGATGCTACCATTGGTTCCTCTGCTCTTGCCACCCACTCACCTGACTGTAGTTGTAGTGCTAGGTCTCTTGAGACAAGAAGATTGTACGCTTTTGGTTGTAAATGCTCTGTTAATGCCAGGCACTGTAATATTCATAAAAAACCAAAGTGGCCGTTTCCC